TAGGCATTTCTAAAGTATTTTTTGCAATACTTCAAAAACATAAAACCAAATTTTTTATCAGATTAAAAAAAACATAGTTTAGTATATTACACATTGTATCACTAACAATAATAATTTTTGATCACTTAAACGGTGTAGTTTTTTGTCGTTCAAATTTTTAAACTCCAGTTACACAAAACTTTAAATTTCAAGTTATCTAGTTCTTGTACTAAGGGGACGATATTATTTATAGCTTTGTTTTAAATTTGTCTCACTAAAAACCAACTTTTTTAAAATCTTATTTAAATATCCATAGTGTCCGGACTTTTTTAAAGCAAATTTAATTCTCTACAACTTCGTTCTTACACTTTTTCTCTTTCTTTAATCGTATTTGTAATTTCTAAAAAAAGCTAAAAATACAGGGTGTGTCAGAACTCGCGCCCCAGAGAAAAATTTCAAGTAAGATAAGATATCAGGAGCATGAAAAAAATTTGTTTTTTGACATTTGAATTTTTTAATGATACTGATGATCTTGTAAATGTTTTTTATAAGTATTTAGTAAAGATACAAAAATTTTGCCAATAAAAGTCACAAATAACATTAAAAACAGAGTTACGATTACGATTCTTGTTTCTGGCATCTTACCTCTCTGGGACACGAGTTCTGGCGCATGCTGTATAAGGCAAAGCAAAAATTTTTATTAGAAAAAAAAAAGTTTTTTTAATTATTGTTTTCAGCAAAATTTTTGCTATAATTTTATTTTTTATTGTGAAGTATTTAATGTTCTATCTGCCTGTAATTTTTCTGTTTGTCTTGCATCATCTTCATTTACATAAAGCAATTTTTTATTTCATTACTCTTAAATTGTAGACACATTACTTATTAGACAATCATTGAATGACACCAATGAAATGATCTGTGATTTTTTTAAACTGAACGTAGGACAATGTACAGAGTTAAAAGAATGTCCTGTATAATAAAGCCATTACCGATTTTCAAACAAAACCCAAAATACATTCTCAGATAATCATATACCTACCACTATAATGAACTGTTTAAAATTTTTCAGATACATACGGGCTGTCCCAGCGAATTGAAAAAGTCCAGTAGTGACCTTTAAATGGTCAAATTAAAAAAAAATTAATCTAGTGCATTACCTAAAATTATTTTATACAGCATCTCCCAAAAATAAGTTACGATACAAACTTGTGTTTTTTTTAATCGTCGAAATGAAGCAGTGTACTCCCCCAGAAGTAAAAAAAACTGCTACAAAAGCAATTGAATACTAATTTAGCAAAATATTTTGGGTAACTTGACAATTTGAAAGAAAAAATTAAAAAAATAATATTATTACTCCTCATGAGATTTAATGATGTGGTTCCGAACCTTTAAAAGGTTAGTAATCGGCATATTACATTAGTGATTGTGAATAAAAATATTTAACATTCAATATTAATTGTAGCAACAATGCCTATTATTCTATCAATATCTGAGCAATGTTGATACCATGATCACTTATCCGTTGATTTATCCAGAGATTAAAAGTCGTTATAAATACTGAAATTCGAATTATTTGATTGTAAAAATAAAAAATAATGGATTTTGTTTAACACAAATGTGATATTTCATACATTTCTTTTTGGCTACTAAAACAATAGTAATTACTTTTTTTTTTAATATTCAACGTTAAATATCTTTTTAGTTATTGATTTTAAACACCTAAAAGTAAATAATTTTAGAAAGACAATTTAATAATCTTTTAAATGCAAAAACAATAAATAGGGTGTTTTATTTAAATTTTTTAAGTTATTGAACTTTTAACAAACGCCTTCATTTTTTTATCTTTGCAAATACAACACACTAAAAAAAATGTTACAGCCTTATAACTTGTACCTTCTACTTTGCGGCAGTAAAAAAAATATTTCTAGATGTCTTAGTTTTGTATAATAAATTTTTAAAAAGTGTATGTTTTCGTCAAAAAAACCGTCTTATTTTTAAAACTAAGCAAAATCAACCAATAAAAGTTTAGCTTAAAAACATTGTCATAAAAATCTATATCCAAAAACGCTAAGAAACATATGGTGTTTCATTCAAAAAAACACAAGTTTGTATTGTAACTTATTTTTGAGACACGCTGTATAGTTGAAAATAATTTCAGGCGATGGACTAGATTAGTGCCTATCAATATTCTATATATCTATATATATATAATAAAATTAATAATAAAATTAATATATATATATTATATATATATATTAATTTTACCATTTAAAGTTCACTAATAAACTTTTTCAACTCACTGGGACACCTTGTATGTATTTATAAACATAGAATAATAATTTTGGGCAATTTTTCATGTATCAAAACCATGTCAGTTTTTTGTCGTTTGAGTATATTTTGACTGAATAATGAATGACATACAATGTATCAACAACTACTTTGATTCAAATTTATTTTTATATTTTTTTTTCAAACACATTAAAGCCAAGTTATCTGTGAGAATATATTTTGGGTTGCGTCTGAAAATCAATTAAGGTTTTTATTATAAAACCCTCGCCCTATACATATCTGAGATCAAAAAATGTTGTGTTAAGGCGGTTTCAAATTAAAGACTTAACAACAAATGTTTTCATTGGGAGAAAATTAAATAATAGTTATTTATTCGACGAGTTTGAGTGTAAATCTGACGGATTATTTCACTGAGTGGGTTATTAAACCACGAGTGTAACGAGTGGTTTATCATCCACGAGGTGGAATAAAGCGTCTAATTTACACTCAAACAAGTTGAATACAACATTTTATTCTTCGAATTAGACTCAATAAGGCTTAAACTTGCTTTAAATCTGTTAAAAATAATTTGACGTCTCGTATTGAGAAATGCTAAACAGTTGTCAAAACTTTCTTACACGGGAGAAAAACCGTAAATTTTGACAGTGTCGAAGAATAAAATTAATTAATTATTTAAAGAAGCAAATACAACTGTTTATACAAAGAATTAATAACGTATCTAAGAAAATGCTGAAAATACAGAGAAAAAAAACAAGTAAGAAATACCACATAAGAATGTGATATACAAAAAACAAGTGGTAAAATAACATAATAATAATAATTAATAATACAACTTTGTATTACAAACTGTCAAACTGGTGTGACCAGAAGCAGCTGTCGATTTCAGCTACTTTCAAAAAAAAAAAAAAAACTACAGCTACTCAGTTTTCAGATGTAGCTTAGCAAAAGCCACAAACCACAAACTGCTGCCCACTGCTGTCCACGCACTTTATTTTTAAATATCGACTCTCCCAACGAAAACTATAGTAACTCAAAATTTACAGTTTTGAGAAAAATTCCATTGAATCTTTGATTGTTAATAAAATATCAAGGAACTGTTTAATATTATTGAAAATTGTTGACGGTTTATTCAAGGCTGTTCCGTTTTTATTGTTACAAATTTAAACAGGCGATAGGATATTCAATTCTAAGACAAAAGTTTCCTATAAACATGTATCAAAAAATGCTTGGTAAGGGAGCTACACCCCCTGGAAGGGGGCTAATATGTTTTTGCTATTATTTCAGAAACCATTTAAGATGAAATTACAAATTTGGTACAGATGATAATCTTTATACACCTAAACGAATTCAAACATCAGATGCCGAATTTTTTATCAAGGGCGTACGAAATTGGGTGAGTTTAGGGTAAAAAATTACCCTAAAAAAAATTACCCTAAAAAAATTTGGTACAGATGATAATCTTTATACACCTAAACGAAAAAAATTACCCTAAAAAAATTTGGTACAGATGATAATCTTTATATACCTAAACGAATTCAAACATCAAATGCCAAATTTTTTATCAAGGACGTACGAAACTGGGTGAGTTTAGGGTAAAAAATTACCCTATTTATTTTGGCTTTAGTTTCTCGGTACTTTCAACAACAAAATCTTAAGTTCGATAGTTTATCACAGAAAAGTCTCTCTTGTGTCGATACGACTTATTGTTTTTGAATAAAATTAATTTAAAATTTATATTACACACCAATACAACATTCAAATGAATCAGAATTTACAGAATAATAAAAGCAAGAAATTCATATTTTTTAACCAACCTCAACTAATTAACATTACATTACAGTAACAATGATAACATTAATTAAATAAATTTGCCTAAATCTAAAGGAGTTGTTTAAAGTGACCACCATTTTGGTCAATGCATAACTAAAGAAAGTAAAGCCAAAATAGATAGGGTATTTTTTTACCCTAAACCCCACCAGTTTCGGACGCCCCTGATTAAAAATTTCGACATTCGATGTTTGAATTCGTTTAGGTGTATAAAGGTTATCATCTGTACCAAATTTTGTAATTTTATCTTAAATGGTTTCTGAAATATTAGCAAAAGCCTATTAGCCTTTTTTTAGGGGGTGTAGCTCCTGGACCAAGCATTTTTCGATACATGTTTATAGGAAACTTTTGTCTTAGAATTGAATATCCTATTACCTGTTTAAATTTGTAACAATAAAAACGGAACACCCTGTATTTTGGTGATAATATTTTTTATTCAAATTTTTTTTTTCATTGTTTTTGTATTTTTGTATTTTTTTACATAAGCCATCGCCCATCGTAACTCAAAACTAATTTTTATGAGTTACTACAATTTTCGTTGGGAGAGTCGATATAAGTATGACAATTATTTTAACATTTTCTTTAAACAATGAAACAGCACATATTTGAAGATACACCACAGCTTAAAATTGTAAATTATTGTTTTATTAATTATTAATTTTATTAATTATTATTATTGTTTATTCCCGAATCCGGTGAAACTAGTGCCGCCCTCTGTCAACAGTCACGCACACTTCTGGAGTTACTCCGGTAGCACCCGCCCGTACCCGATTGGAATTCACTTCTAGTGATCCTCAGATAGCGCTAGCGATGCACTTGAGCGCCAAATCCATACTTTTACACATGACACCTAGTGATCGAAATAAGCCACGCAGTGAATAGTGCGCATGGTGCGCAGTGTTGGTTTTGGTTTCAGAGGGTTTTGTCTTCGTGAGCGGGTTGTGGGATAGGATATTTGTGCTGGTTCCTCGAGTTGTTTGTTTAAGAAATTAGTTTTTTTGATAATATTGAAATAAGCTCTGTGAAAAATGACTACTTTGGAACTGTATACGAAGGTAAAAATTTTGTTAGGGATTTAACTTTGTTAAAAAAATTGCGAAGTATCTTGTAGGTACATGCTGCGATATTTTTTTTTTTTGATGTGCGAGTTAGAATCGTGGCGCAAAACCGGTCTTTTAAATGCCACGAAACGGATTATTATCACAAAATAATTGCTATTACAATCTATTGTTTCTTTTAGTACCTTGGAAAGCATTACTACCGAATTTGTTGTCCTAGTCCTTTCAATCGATTGTGTTGTTTCCATTTTTTAAATGTTTCCATTCAAATTTTGAAATATTTTTTACGAATTGCCCTACTGATATAGGCTAATAATAAGAGTGATAAGTAAAAATAAGTGTGTTATTCTCGCTAAAAAAAGTGACACCAGAGGGTTTTTCTTGGTTAGTGGGTTGTGCAGGTTCCTAGTTCTTATAAATAAAGTTAATGTTTAAATTAAATTTAAATTTAAAATAAGTTCATCAGTAACGGCACAAAATGACTAAATTGTAGGTATATACGAAGGTGAAATTCGTTTCTCATTTATCTTTTATCTTTTTATACTTGATAATTGATAAGGTATTATTTTGACGCGCGAAACGTGGCTCCTAACCAGTTTTGTAAATGCCATGAAAACGAAACCTTTTAGCATACTATCAGCAAAGAAATGTAACTAAACTTCACTGTTCCTTTTAGAATATTACTGAATGAGAATTTGTTCCATTGGATCGATGTTACTCCCTCTAACCAACGTAAACAATATTTAAAATTATAAAAGAAAAAAACATATTCGCATTAGGTATTTAATTGTATTTATTGATTGCTATTACTTTTATATTATCTCGAAATCGAGAAATGTAATAAATCTTAATAAGTGCTGTGCTTAAATGTTGACAAAAGTACCCTTTAAATGTAGATGATAAAAGGGGCGTTATTATTACTTTTAAAACTCTTATTACATCATTAAAATAATATGGATTTGACGACTTGGGTTATGTTATATTATAATTTATTTCTTGCGTAAAAAATCTTTATACGCTACAGGGTTACTGTGTCTTTGTAAGAGACATGTGCTGATTCCTAAATATAGTCCTGTTTGTTTAACAAATTAGTTTTTTTGATAATGTATAAATAAATTCCGTGATAACGCTGCAAAATAATTACCTTGTAAATGTATACGAAGGTGAAAATTTTATGTTGCATTTACCTTCGTTAATTGTTGCTACTTTAACTAACGTAATAATACTTGAAGTTACCTATGACATGTCATACAGTTATAGTATTATACAGGCTGTTCCGTCTAAACCCCACATTAAAAGTATTGGCAGTTCGAATAATTATATTTATTTGAAAATTGGTACATAGCCATAATTCATTAAGTTTACATAAATGAAAATATTTTCAAGATGGCGACACTTCCGGTTATACCGGAAGTCGGTCTCAACTTTTTTATTTTAAATAGAGAGCTATATCGTATAGTTTGCTATGGAAATCAAAAATGTCAAAATTGTTTCTCAATAAACGTTGACAGTGACTCATTATTTGACAAATAGTGCCAAAATATGGAGAGACAAAGCTACTCAAACATAGATTTAATTAATTTATTTTGTATTTATGGAGAGTGTAACAAAGGTATGATGTCGTTCATTAAACAAAAATAAATTTTTCTCACTTGTTAGCTTTAAATAATGATTTCATGGTAGAACCTATCAATAATAATTAAGTTTGCATAACTTTGGTTTTTCATATTTGGGCATTATTTGTTAAATAGTAATTTACTGTTGACGTTTGTTTAGAGAAAATTTTGACATTTTTGATTTCCATAGCAAACTATGTGAAAACGGGTGTGGCTAGTAATAAATTTTCTGTAGTCTTAAAAAAAGCCCATAACTTGAAAATTATTAAATTTAAGTATAGGGAATATTAATACTGATCGATGCACAATTAAATTCTCTTCTATTTAGTAAAATAAAAATTGGGGTATTTCATTTGAAAAAATTGTTTTACGAGTATTTGAATTATTACAAAAGTAACCCCAAATTTTGGGATGTTTTTTTTTTCAAAATTTGAAAACAACAGAAAAAGGATTTAAGCTTTCTATTTCAAACGCCAAAAAAACGAATTCAAAATCTTCAAAAATGGCAGAGTTACTGATTTTTAAAGTGGAAGGTGCAGATCCAAAATTTTTTGAAAAACTCAAAATATTTCAAAAACGGCTAAATTTAGGTATAGGACAAGCTGATGAAAACTCCATTAAAATAACCCAATTAATCCAAAAACGCAGTACAAAATACAGCTTTTTATTTAAAATAAGAAAGATAAGACCGACTTCCGGTATAAGCGGAAGTGTCGCCACCTTGAATATATTTTCATGAGAACTTAATGGATTATGGCTATGTACCAATTTTCAAATAAATATGATTATTCGAACACCCAATACTTTTAATGTGGGGTTTAGACGGAACAACCCTGTATATACACTTTATTAAAGAAAAAAATCATATTGGTTAGTGAATTGTAGTTTATATTTATTGATCGCTATTACTTTTATACTGTCTGGGAATTGAAAAACTTAATTTTTTAAATGAATGTTGGTGTATTTAAAAGCTGAAAGGGCGACATATTTCCTTAAAAAGAATTATTATGCATTAATAAGTTGCAATTGAATTTATAAACCTCAAAGTTTTAAATAAAGCTATTCGCCATTCCAATGCAGAGAAACACATCGATAGATGTTGTGAGCCATAAGTGAGAGTGATCTGAGATCTTGAAATTTTCTCATGCTTGCAGTGAATGGCAACAACGTTTTATTAATTAATTGGTACCCGTAATCTAATTCTTAGTTGCAAAAAAGGGTATATTGGCCTCATTGTTTCAATTATCTTAAAAATCTCAATAAACTAAGACGAATTTTTTGTAAAAATATGTCTAATGCACAGGAAAAACGTTTAGCAATCCGGATTTTCCTTTAAAAATCAAAATTCAATGAATACTAGTAACCAAAGTCTTAGAAAATTTAAATATTTTTTTATAAATAAAGGTCAAAACGTTTTTGTTGAATCACTCTGTACTTAAAATTTTAATTAAAGTTTTGCAACAAAATATAATAAATTTAGAAAAAAGTATTTTACTCGTTGTAAGAACATACCATTGCTCATTGAAGTCTTACATCTTCCATCTTTTATCAATCTCTTATACTAAACGAAACATACAGGGTGTCCGGAAAGTCGCGCACGTCCGTGACACTGTATTATCGGGCGGTGCCCTAGACAACAAGAAAAATGTTAAAAAAATCTATCCAAAAAATTTCGAACTTATGAGAGTTTAAATTTTAAACTTAAACTTTATACAGGGTGCGCCAGAACTCGCGCCCCAGAGAAAAATTTCAAGTAAGATAGGATACTAGGAACATGGAAAAAATTCTCTGTCAAAAAAATTTGACATTTGACATTTTTTTATGTCTATTTAACGATACTGATGATCTTGTATATTTTTTTTAATAAGTATTTAGTAAAGCTACAAAAATTTTGCCAATAAAAGCTACAAATAACATTAAACAGAGTTACAATGCAGCTTTCTTGTTTCCTCTTCTAATAGCCTGTAGCAAAAAACTTGGAAAAATATTTTTCCAACAGAAATAAATAGTCGTAGTGCAAAATAAAAAAAAAAATAAAAAAAATTAATTAAAACAAAAAAGCTATATCCTAAACTGGAAATCTGTTTAATGTTATTTGTAGCTTTTATTGGCAAAATTTTTGTACCTTTACTAAATAATTATAAAAAAAATACAAGATCATCAGTATCACTAAATAGACATAAAAAATGTCAAATGTCATGGGGGACTACTCCATTACTCCCTTTCAAGGAAGTGCGCGACTTACCGGACATCCTGTATTTTGTCTTAACTTTCTCACTCTGTATTTTATTTTACTTTATTTAAATTGGGTTTTAATTTTTAATCGATGGTAAAATTATACAAATTACGTTGTTGCAATATTAATATTATTATAATATTCTTTTGAAATTCAGAGAAAATGTCTTAAGTCAGGCAAGTGAATTTTTCATATAGGGGATCTACGAAAAATTAGATTCGACAGTAATGCTAAGCTGCTGCAGATGTTATTTGATTCACCCTGTGTATGAAGGAAGCTGTTTTAGAAAAAAAAAAAAAAAAAGATAGAGATAACTGTGATAATTTTGCAGTTTATCAAGTGTAAGTTCAGACTATGATTAGATGCACTTGTTGTTTGGATTACGAAAATGTAAAAGGATGATCGAATTAAAGAGGCTATACTGTACCAATAATTACGTCTTCTTTACGTCAAACACTTTTTTAACGCTCCTAAAAGTTAATTAAATTTTAATTGTTTTTTTTTTTATGATGAGTTTAATGGATCCGGAAACATTTCACTAGATAATCGATTAATAAAAAATGGAGAAATTTTGTTAGATGGATTTCGACAAAAAAATTAGGTACATTTAAAATATTTGTCTCTGAGTGGGTTGTTGATTTCCGCTGTTGCCTGATGATAATATGATAAATTCAATCGTTTTTCCATATTTAAAAGATGCTCAAAATTCAGTTTCTAGTTTTATAGAAAAAAAATAAAAGTAGTCGAAATAATAGCAGAAACAATAAACGTTTATTGTGTATTATGAAATTTAATTGCTGTCATAAATTCAAATAATAAACAGAAAGAACAATTCAAATAATTTCACTTGACATGTGACATTTGGGCGTGGGATGCAAATACACCTAATAATTTTTTTTTATTTACTAAAGGTAACATTACGCCAAGATTAAGTTACCATTAACCTTGGTTTAACATAAAATGTGTTACCAATTTTTCATTGATTTATTAGTATAAAATATGCAATGAAAATTTACTGCGCTTTTGTTACCAAAAACAAAAAATCATAAATTCATTGTTTCCTGAGTTGTGGTATGCCACAAATGTTACCATTTTTGTCTCACAAAACATGCAAATGAGACTTTTAATTTTTTCCAACTATAATACACTATAATAACAATCCAATTATGACATTAACCAAATTGAATCTGAGAGTGAAAGTACGACGTATTACTTCCAACAACTGGTTATATTGTTATTTTAATCATTTGGGAGCGCAAGCGACTTTTATATAAATCATGATCGAAAGTCGAACACTACAAAAATCAGTTCCATGCACGGAATTTTTATATTTTTTTTAAATATTCATCTAGTCAATACTTTTTTTGCTTTCATATTTTTCCAATGACGAAAGCATACATTTCGTTACAATACCGTTAAATGTCCTCAAACTTGCCCGTGTAAAGTTCAAACAAATTGCTGTAAAACGTAATCTCGTTTGTTTTTCTAATTTAGCATTCAGCAACATTATTGTCGTTTGAACGGAACATTTTCATGCAATTTGCGGTGGAATAACGAAATGTAGAGCTTGACAGTGGCGATTAATGGCATCCGTTTTGATGTCAAAGACCTATTTTTGAAATGACTCATTCGATAATAAATATTTTATCTCGTTTAGATTTCAATTATCACATTTTTGTATTAATTTCAGGGTGCGAAGGTATGGATCCCTCACCCCGAAAAGGTATGGGAAGGCGCCGAACTTGAAGAAGACTACAAAACAAACAAAAAAACCCTTCAAGTATTAACAGAAAACAACGAGAAGAAAACCCTTACGATCAAATCAGAAACTGATCTACCCTATCTAAGGAACCCTTCAATTTTAGTAGGCGAAAATGATCTTACATCGCTCTCTTACCTACACGAACCTGCCGTACTTTACAATTTGCAAGTGCGATTCTGTCAAAATCGAGACATTTACACCTACTGTGGGATTGTTTTGGTTGCCATTAATCCTTACGATGATCTTCCTATTTATGGTAAGTTAACACACCGTTATTTTACGAGGAAAATCGTTAATTGCCTGACACAAATATGCATGAATGGATTTTTTCCGTTCGTGAATACATAATGACTTATTAATTAAATGGAATTTAGCGAATCTGTGCCAGTATTTTTGCAAATTTGTGAAAACAGTTTGTTTACTACAAAAATAAATGTAGCGTAATTATTTGATGATTTTAACGGTTACTTTAAAATAAACAATACATCAATGGAAACATTGTACATACAATTTTATTTATTGATAAATTCTCATTGAAAATTGACCCACATAACTGAAGGCATATTAACCTTAAGTGTGTTTGTTGATATTGATTTTTATTACTGCAATGTGGAGGCTTATTTGAACGTTATATTACAACATCTAATTAAAATAAACAATGCTTTTTCTATTTCCGAACTCATGAAATAATAAAACTACAAGAAAGCCTCTCACGTCTTGAGTGACATTCTAATAAGAGTATTTCCTTTGTGTTGAAAAAAAAACACAAAGTTGCGAGTCTTCAAATGATTAAGAGAAACCGCAAGAATACTACAATTTATTTAACATCTTATTTTGTCGTAATTTTGTATTTACAAATTCACACAAGAAGAAAAATATGTAATTAAAATTTAAATTAAAAACACGGTTACTACCTACATACTCGTATATCTAGGTATCTTTAATCATCCTACTATTAAAACACAAAAGGGCAAAGGTAAAATCAGATACAGTAAGTAAAGTAATGATTATTAAAAGTAAACTGGTTGCACCCACGTGACCTAAAATCAAGGTTGAAAAATTAAGTAGAATAAAACAACAGTAATAATTAAAATAATCTTTCAAGTGGTTGCGTATTTGCATCTCCTTATTTTTGTCAAAAAGTAAACAATATTAAAGAGTAAGCTTTGAAGTCATTTTTCTTCACATTTTTATTATTGCTGTTATTGTTGACTTTCAAAAGTGAAAAAAAAGTCGTAGACTTTCTCTTTTTAAAATTGAGATGACAAAAAATCTGCTCTGTAAAACCTGTTTTAAATATCTAATTTAATTAACATTTAAAATTTAAAGAATGTAACAAAAACGTCTAGTCTCTGTAGTTTCGACCATTGTATTCATAGGGATCTTACTTTCTATATCGCAAATCTTAAAATGTTACAAAAAATTTGAAAGTTGAGATTCGTGCAAAACATTCACTCGATGAATTGTGGGAAACAAGGATTAAAACTTTAAACTACCGCAGAAGCATATTATCAGTTTTTCTTATGTATTTTGATTACTCCCAATTTAAAATGAAATTGGTATAATTTGGGACTAGTTTACTTACTTCCTGTTATCATTTACAGTAAAACATTAATAATAATAGATTTTAGTACCGGTTTTAACGAAATTAAATTTTTCAAGGTATTAACGAACGTTCATTGTTTATATCATGCTATTATCACCGCGATAACACCTACAATTTGCGATAAATAATATGACTCATGTTATGCAAACACGAGAGCAAATAAATAACCGCAAAATTAGAAAAATCACACATATCATAAGATGATATTTTATCTTTTTAAAATAAAAAATAATGCAACAGCACACACATCTCAAGGATATTTTATCTTGTAATTATTTGCTACAAAATTTTGTAAGAAATGTTTGTAATACAGGGCTGTCCCAGCGAGTTGAAAAAGTCTATTAGTGACCTTTAAATGGTAAAATTAAAAAAATATATACAGGCTGCGCCAGAACTCGCGCCCCAGAGAAAAATGCCATGTAAGTTAAGATACTAGAAACATAGAAAAAATGTTTAAAAAATTCTATCTATAAAAGTTTCGAAGTTATGACAGTTTGAATTTTGCACTTTGACTCTATTTATTTCTGTTGAAAAAATAATTTTCCAAGTTTTTTGCACCAAGTTATTAGAAGAGGAAACAAGGAAGTTGTATATTAAATTGTAACTTTGTTTAATGTTATTTGCGGCTTTTATTGGCAAAATTTTTGTACCTTTACTAAATAATTATAAAAAAACATATACCAAATCATCAGTATCATTAAATATACATAAAAACATGTTAAACGTCAAAAAATAAATGTCAAAATTTTTTGACAGATAGAATTTTTAAAATATATTTTTCATGTTTCTGGTATACTATCTTACATGGCATTGTTCTCTGGGGCGCGAGTTCTGGCGCACTCTGTATAGGACATTGATAGATACTAATCTAGTCCATCGCCTAAAAGTATTTTCAACTATACAGCGTGTCTCAAAAATAAGTTACAATACAAACTTTTTTAAATGAAACACCATATGTTTCTTAGCGTTTTTGGATGTAGATTTTTATGACAATGTTTTTAAGCTAAACTTTTATTGGTTGATTTTGCTTAGTTTTAAAAATAAGACGGATTTTTTGACGAAAAAATGCACTTTTTAAAAATTTATTACACAAAAACCAAGACATGTACAAATATATTTTTTTACTACCGCAAAGAAGAAAATACAAGCTATAAGGTTGTAACATTCTTTTATTGTGTTGCATTTGCAAAGATAAAAAAATGAAGGTCTTTGTTAAAAGTTCAATAACTTAAAAAAATTATATGGAACACACTATTTTTTATTTTAGCATCTAATATATTATTAAATTGTCTTTCTAAAATTATTACTTTTAGGTGTTTATAATCAATGATTAAAAATTAAAAAGATATTTAACGTTAAACATTAAAAAAAATAATTACTATTGTTTCAGTAGCCAAAAAGTTCACAGTTGCACAAGAGATGGAAGAAATATCACTTAATCATCACATTTGTGTTAAACTGAATCCATTATTCTTTATTTTTACAATAAAATAATTCGAATTTCAGTATTTATAACGATTTTTACAATCTCTGGATAAATCAACGGATAAGTGATTCGTGGTGGAATTATTATGGTTGCTATACTATATAACAATGTCCAGATATTGATAGGCATTGTTGCTACAATTAACATTTAAAATTAAATATCTTTTAATTTATCAATTCTAGACATTAAAAGTTTATTTTTTAGATAGACGATTTATCAATCAATATATGCCAAAATAAAAAAAATAGAGTGTTCCATTTACATTTTTTAAGTTATTTAACTTTTAACAAACTTCTTATATTATTATTATTAATCTTTACAAATGCAAAACACTAAAAAATTGCTACAGCTTTAAATTCTGTACTTTCTTCTTTGAAGAAGTAAGAAAAAATTTGTTCTAGCTGTCTTAGTTTTTGTGTAATAAATTTTTAAAAAGTGCGTGTTTTTGTCAAAAAAACGTCGCGAAAAGTTTAATGTAAAAAAAAATTTTTGAGACAAACTGTATGTTAAAAATAATTTTACGCGATGGACTAGATTAGTATCTATCAATGTCCTATATATTTTTTTAATTATACCATTTGAAGATCACTAATGGACTTTTACAACTCGCTGGGACACCCTGTATGTATATTTTGTGCTACAATAAAAAATACAAACAGAAATAGTAAACCATGGGAGATTGATGGCATTTTCGATACCTTTCAAGGATACTAAAATTATTGCCTGGCATATGCCATACATAACTTCTATATTGCATGTGCCCAAATTTATGCAAGTAATCCATACTATATTGTATCGTATCCACTTATTTCTTACAACTTGCAATGATTTACGAATGAAAATAAACGAAACATGGTTATACAAGCAAGGAATAATTTATTAAATTAACTTGGTTTGCATTATTGTAGTACCTAGCTCAGTTTAATTTTTTAGAAATTTAAATTAGAAATAAAATGATGTATGTATGTACAAGCACGATCGCATTATGCATTCTTTGTTAATATGTAAAGTTTCAATATTTTAATGTTTAAAAAGGTCAGTCTGATTTAAAATTAAAAAAAAATCCATTTTAGATGTTTTAAACTAATTCTATTGCGGAAACAAAACTTGCAACTCTCTCTTCAGACCGCTTTTCGGAGAAGGTCTAAGACATCCCGATGCATAATTCTCTTTATAGCAGTTCATCAACTCCACCTTTGACCTGTTAATTTTTAAAAGAACACTTGTAATCACATACTTTGTCTTGTACAAGACTCAAATACATTTTCCAAGCAAGTTCCACTAACTTTTCACGCTAATAAATTATAAACTATCATTCGCACATCGAGACGACCTCTGGGTCTGAATAATTTAACCGGAATGGTGATTGCACATTTTGCGTCAAAATTTTAATTTACCAATTACAGAAAAAAATCGTATTGAAAAGGAATATAATCATTGATGTGTGACCGTTCTATTTCTTTACAAAACCGTAATTGCAAGAGTTTCACACACCATTATCGTGTCTTTCAGGCGTCGACACCATACAAACGTATAGAGGTCAAGCAATGGGTGACCTAGATCCTCACATATTCGCCGTTGCCGAAGAAGCATACACAAAATTAGAAAGAGAGCAAAGGGACCAAAGTATTATCGTATCAGGAGAAAGCGGAGCCGGTAAAACCGTTTCAGCAAAATACGCAATGAGGTATTTTGCGACTGTAGGGGGCAATGCAACCGAAACCCAAATAGAAAAAAAAGTACTAGCCAGTAGTCCTATCATGGAGGTAATAAAGATAAACACAATTGTAACCTAGTTATTTGCATTTTCAATCGTAGGCAATCGGCAATGCGAAAACTACAAGGAATGATAACAGTTCTCGATTTGGAAAGTTTATAGAACTCCAATTTAATAAACAATTTCATATTAGTGGGGCGTCGATGAGAACATATCTCTTGGAAAAATCGCGAGTCGTCTTTCAGGCTCCCGATGAACGGAATTACCACATTTTCTACCAATTGTGTTCTGCTAGAAATCAACTCCCACACTTGCATCTCGCTGATCAAGACAGTTTTTATTATTTAAATCAAGGAGAAAGTCCTAATGTGGACGGAGTCGACGATTTACAAACCTTTGAAGAAACGCTAAATGCTTTGAATCTTCTAGGGTTTAAGAAATCAGATCTGGATGACATGTTTAAAATTCTAGCCTCCGTCCTACATTTAGGAAATATTGAGTTTATCGAATCAATCATTTCTACAGAAAACGAACAAGATCAAGAAGGTTGTAGTATACCGGTGAGTCATTTTTTCAAATCTAAAGTCTGTTTTCTCTTTAAATGGAAATTACCAAGTCAAAATTTTGGTGAAAAAATTGGTAGCAGCTTGTCTCTTGTTTGCTCTTTGTTTTTGTTCCTAGAAATTTTGTTAAACAAATTTGTATGCCTGTTCGCTCTTTGAAAGCGCTATAATTGAATACCTGAGGGCAGACATCATCTAAAGACATAATAATTTTGATAGAAACACCATAAGTAAGTACAATGTTATGGACAAAAATGAGGTTCTTACTACAAAAACTTTGAAGAAAAAGGATGTATAAACAGAAAAAAAGTTATTTAGCAAAAGATACAAGTAGGCATTATGATGATTGGCAATAAATTTTGTGTAATTTATTAAAATGAACTCAAAGTTGATGCATTTTAAAAATTCTTTTTCAGCTTTAGTTTCAAAATTGTTACTTTTTCAACTCGTTCCTCAAAAACAATGCACAAGACACTAATTGAAGTGCGTTCTTTCCGAGGTTTTTTCTCATTCATATTTATTTTGTATTCTTGCTAAAAATTGAGAATGTTTAGCAAACCTGCGTCGAGTAGTTCCATGCCAAAACGATCACTTTTAAAACTCATTGTTTCTGATTTTCGTAAATTTGAGATATGTTATAGAACGTGTAAGAATAAGTGACACGAATTTCACCGTTTTTTATTTCTTTAATGTATGTTGAAAAAACAGGAATGTTCAAAATTAAGTACCTTGTAACAAAAAGAATTTGCATCTAAAGAGCAAATCAACATATTGAAACGATTTTTTTTTAAATAATAGATATAAGTAGATACACCACGGACATGATAATACATGTATTCTAAAAAGTTGTTATTAACAACTAATTTAAGAATATGTTGTTTAAACTAAAAAATAAACAATTACTCAGGTTTTTAAAATTCCCAAAAAATTTATGTAAAAAGTTTCATATTTTTACTATGTCTTCACATAAGTTTCAAGACGGACGTTTTAAAAAGGGCTGAAAAACAAATTTTGAGGGCGCTGCATAGTGCATGATCTCCTAAGATCGTCTGAAAGTAAAATTAAATAGAAAACTTACCAATTACCGTCACTAATAAACAGTTCTAAAAAAACACATAATTTCCAATAACTTATTAACATTTATTTTTCAAAAAATATCAATAATAAATACAAATTCCTCGGTTGAGGAAGAGTACTCTCTATATTTTTTTATTCTATTTACTGATATTAGAATAAAAGTATGTACATTTCGCGTATCTTTTATGAGCTTCGCTCGACTGAAACGATCATTTAGAAAATCGCAGTCTTTCAACTTGTCGATTAGATTATACAGGGTGTGTCAAAAGTCCCGGACCAACGTAACATGCCATGTAAGGTAACATACCAGGAGCATGGAAAAAATGTAAAAAAAATCTATCTATAAAAATTTCGAAGTTACCAGAGTTTAAATTTTACACTTTGACTCTATTTGTTTCTGTTGGAAAAATATTTCATGTTTTTTTTTGCTGCAGGCTATTGGAAGAGGAAATATTGGCAAAATTATCGTACCTTTATTAAATAATTATAAAAAAAAACATATACAAGATCAACAATATCATTAAATAGACATAAAAAATGTCAATTTTCAAAAAATAAATGTAAAAATTTTTTGTATATATTTTTTTCATGTTCCTGGTATCTTACCTTACATGGCATGTCACGTTGGTCCGGGAATGTTGACACACCCTTCAACCAAACGTAATATGTGAAATATTTACTCAACCGAAGAATTTGTTTTTTATTATTTATATATATTTTTTAAATAAATGTTAATAAATTATTGGAAATTATGTGCCTTCTATACAACAGTTTATTAATGACGGTAATTGGTAATTTTTCTATTTAATTTCCAAGGAAACGCTACTTTCAGGCGATCTTAGGCGTTTATACACTCTATTTTTTTTCAGCCATTTTTAAAACGCCCGTCTTGAAAGTTATGTGAAGACATAGTAAAAATGTGAGTTTTTACATAAATTTTTTGAGAATTTTAAAAACCTGCGTAATTGTTTATTTTTTAGTTTAAACAATATATTTTTATTTTTTTTGTTTATAACAAATTTTTAGAATACATGTATTATCACGTCCGTAATGTACCTATTTATATCTATTATTTAAAAAAAAATCGTTTCAATACGTTGTTTTGTTCTTTAGATAAAAATTCTTTTTGCTACGAGGTACTTAATTTTGTACATCCTTGTTTTTTCAACATACATTGAATAATAAAAAACGGTGGAATACATGTAACTTATTTTTACACGTTCTATAACATATCTCAAATTTACGAAAATCAGAAATAATGAGTTTTAGAGCTGTCTGACACGAGACTAATTTCAGTACTGAATTTAGTACTGAAATTGCGTGCGCAAGAAAATAGAGCCTGTTCTAATTTCTTGGATGAAAGCTTGCTAAAACTGTGCACTAAAAATGCGCATTAATAAAAAGCGTAAATTTAAAATATTCGAATGTAAAAACAGAAATATTATAACTAAGACGCTTTACGAGCTTTTGTCTAAAACTAGAAAAATGTTCAAGGGTAATTTTTTGAAATTGTGTTTATGCTACCACGCCCTGTTATCAAAAGAAACGTATTAAATCCCGCGCAATATTATAAATTTTGAAAATCAACAATTTATTGCAGAAAATTTGTTATTATTTGTTATTGTTTTCAAATCAATAGTTTATCTTCAAAATGCATTTTCTATTAATTATTTACTTTAATATCTAATTTTTAATTTAATGAACCGATTTTGTAAATATTGCAGAATTTGTCAACTAAAATATGAAAAATGTAACAAAGAATAAATATAACAAAATATCACAAATTTTAAAGTAATGCTAAATCAATAAGTGGTGAATTAACTAACGTCCCTCAACATTTTTTAAATAGTTTCTTCAATTGTATGGAATTTCAGATACATGTTACATAACAGAACTCCAAAATATTTATTTTTTAAAGCTAACTAATGTAGTTTTTTTAATACCAGACATTAAACTGCAATTCCATTTAGCCTATTTTAACGTTCAAAAACGGTTGGAGATAAAAATCTCTTGAACATTCTCTTCAAGAAAATTTTATTCTCTACAACCCCTTGATTGTATTTGTTGTAAATCTAACGTTTTTCGATCTTTTTAATTAAAGAGAATTATTCGCAAATGTTAAACTTGGCTTTAAATTTTATATAACTCATTTAAGAATACTTTCAGATGAAATATCTGTAATATTTTTTAAAATTTTATTTTTTTTTTTAAATTGACAATTGACAGTCCTTTTGGTCTTTAGCAAGATCAATGCGCATGTTCATAGACTTATTTCAGTACTCACGTGTCATACAGAACTTCTACTAACTTCAACTAATTTCGATACTAAATTTGCGCGCGCAGTTTCAGTAGTAAATTCAGTACTGAAATTACTCTCGTGTCAGACAGCTCTTAAAAGTGATCGTTTTGGCATGGAATTACTCCATTACAAATTGCGTCTACATTTTAACGGGTCCTTTTTCAAACTTCTTGCCTTCGAACTATTCGTTTCCAAATTTCTAAAAACTGTTAGCGGTACCAAATTTGTTCCTTTTTGGTGTTTCGTCTCTAAATTTTCTTAGACGACTTTTTGTGTTGACATTTAATGACATTGTTTTCAAATTAATTACAAAACCGGAACTGCCAACTTCCTTCATTAAAATTACCATGAATGAATTTACTAGTGGTGCCAACGTTAAGACTGTTTGGCATTTCCATTTAAAAAAAAAACAGACTTTATATTTTGTGAAATAAATCAATTTTTATGTAGGGCACAGACACACACTTGAAAATCTTAGCAGAGTTACTCGAAATTGATTTAAAAGAAATGCAACAGTGGCTCTGTACTCGAAAAATTGTTTCAATGAGAGAAGTCTTCCTTAAGCCAATGTCAGTTGAAGATGCTCAAGCAGCCAGAGATGCTTTAGCGAAGCATATTTACGCAGAATTATTCAACTGGATTGTGCTAGTCATCAACAAGGCTTTAGAATCCGACATACCTAGACACAAATTTATTGGAGTTCTCGACATCTACGGCTTTGAAACCTTCGAAACGAATTCTTTTGAACAATTTTGTATTAACTACGCTAACGAAAAACTACAACAACAATTCAACCTCCACGTCTTTAAATTGGAGCAAGAGGAATATATCAAAGAAGGAATCGAATGGAAAATGATTGATTTTTACGACAATCAACCCTGCATAGACCTCATCGAGACAAAATTAGGCATCTTAGATTTACTAGACGAGGAATGTCGGGTAAGTTTGAAATAGTTTCTAATCACTAATAAAAAAATCAAGATGCCCAAAGGGACCGATAGTTCGTGGACAGAGAAATTATACTCAAAATGCGCAAAATATTCCCACTTTGGTAAGGCCCGTTTCGGCACTTCCGCTTTCACCATCAACCACTTCGCCGATAAAGTCCAATACGAAAGTAACGGCTTTCTGGAGAAAAATCGCGACACTGTGATTGAAGAGCAAATCTCGGTGGTGAAAAAGAGCAAAAACGATTTAATTCGGCGCCTTTTCGGCGACGATTCACAAAAATTAGCCGTTCCGAAAGCTAAACTCAAAGTGATTTCGGCCAAACCTGCCCCAACCTCCCAAAAAACCCACAAAAAAACAGTGGGATCACAATTTAGAGACTCACTTAACATGTTGATGACCACGTTAAACGCCACAACCCCGCATTATGTCCGGTGTATCAAACCAAACGATTCGAAAAAACCGTTTGAGTATAACCCAAAACGGGCGGTTCAACAATTAAGAGCTTGTGGTGTTTTGGAAACGATCAGAATTTCAGCAGCCGGATTTCCGAGTCGGTGGACTTATGTTGATTTCTTCTACCGATACCGAGTCTTGTGTAAATTTAATGACATCAAAAGGAATGATATGCAACGAACTTGTCAAAATATACTAGATCAGTATATTAAAAATAGAGATATGTTTCAATTCGGGAAAACTAAGATTTTTTTCCGAGCCGGACAAGTCGCCTATTTGGAGAAGCTTCGATCGGACAAACTCAAAGCTTGCTGCATCATGATGCAAAAAACAATCCGGGCTTTTATTTGTAAGAAAAAATACCTTCGAATCAAGCGTTGTACTATCAATATCCAGAGATATGGTCGAGGTTATTTGGCCCGAAAACTGGCCGAAAATATACGACGGGAAAGAGCCGCCAAGACGTTACAGCGATATATTCGAGGGTGGGTGAAACGTGTTCAATATCAGAGACTTAAAACATGTGTGACTGGTATCCAGAGGTATGCCAGAGGATATTTAGCAAGACGGCGATACATGCAGTTGCGATACAACGCTAAAGCTCTTGTAATTCAACGCTATATGATAGGGTACTTGGCACGGAAGCGTGTTTTGGCTTACAAGAGAAAAATCATCATATGCCAAGCTGCGATTCGCCGATTCTTGGCGCGAAGACAGTACAAGAAGCTTAAAATCGAAGCGAGATCCATTGAACACGTCAAGAAACTTAACAAAGGCTTGGAGAATAAGATCATCAGTTTGCAGCAAAAGATTGACGATATAACGAAACAAAACGCAGAATTGATGACTTATAAGACCGGAGCTAACGAACTCAAGTAATAACACAAAAAAAGTCATGTCGTGACAACTTGACAAATTATACAGGGTGTTCGGTCTAAGATAACACCTAAACTTACTTCTTTTTTTTCAAAAAGTAAATATTTGAGTAATAATATTTATTCTTGGCTTTCTTAATAAATGTATTACATTTTTTTACCACATCCGGTGTTGCCGGAAATGCTACCAAATTTAGTTTTTCAAATGGAACACCTATGTTTTTTTTCCTTCAAACAATAATAATTGACATGAAAAATACTGTAAACCACTGTTTATTACATTTTGCGTAACACAATGCAATCAAAAAACATCTTAAATCTTAGAATTTTATAAGGAAATTGGTCGTGTAGTTTTAAGAAGGGAACCCATTCGTCTCAGTTGTTTTTCATTTCGACTAAATATCCAACGATTTGGGTGAACTCTATTTGAGGATTTTTCTCTATACTGTCTTTCAGCTTCCGCTCTATTTTTATTGCACTTAAAAAACACTTCAAACAGATCTACCAATTTGTCGTAATTATTATCATCCATTATTAAAAATCTCAATAGAATTTATTGACAAATTAGGCTTTGTCAAATTAACAGTTAAACGATATCCAAGCATACTGCTTTTTGCATGAATACCTTGACAAGTAAAATCCGCCTACGTTGCAAAATTTGCAATAAAATTCAAAAATTTAAATTGTTTAAATGATGTAAAGTAAAATGCAATAAATAGTGGTTTACCGTATTTTTCATGCCAATTATTATTGTTTCGAGCAAAAAAAATAGATGTTCCATTTGAAAAACTAAATTTGGTAGCATTTCCGGCTACACCAGATGTGTCAAAAAAATTTGATGCATTTACTAAGAAAACAAGGAATGAATAGTATTATTTGAAAATTTAGTTTTCGAAAAAAAAGTAAGTTTAGGTGTTATCGGCCGGGGCTACTTGGACCGAACAGCCTGTATATCACTTTGTTCGTCTCAGTGAGACAAATTAAATGCACTAAAAAAATTCATAAAGTCTACACATTTTGAAATTTTCTAATTTAAATGAATTTAAAATACTTTAACATTAAAAAATCATTACTCAATAACTATTAGGCCGATTTCTTTCAAATAAAGACCATTCTAAAGGCATGGCCTTGCCCTTTAGAATGATATGAAATTTGAAATTGAATATTGGCAAACTTTTCTTCGAACACTGTTCGAAGAAGTTCGAAGTAAATCGAATTAATCTAAGAAAATCCCTACGAGTAATTTTTTTTCCATCATTACCATCGTATAGAGCATCTCTTTATTAGTTGTAATCCAAATTTTCAAAAGAATATACCGAGTAGTTTTCATGATATAGTTTTTTGAAGTTAAGGTTTGTTAATCAAGCATTGCTCCATATAGGAGAAATACATGTTATCTTACTTAAAATTGCATTTTTATAAAAGTATTTGTTTTAAGACTCTTCTTTTGCTTAAAAATGGTCAATTGCACCTTCTTTGTTCTAATTAGAATAAACAAAAACTGTTTCTTTACTTAAAACAGACAAAGAGTACCTGCGTACTAATTAAAGCAAATAAAGAGGTTTTTTGTTGTAAAAATGACCACTGATCATTGAGCAAAGAGGATCTAGAAGTTTAAGGCACGAGCCTTTTTCAAATCAAATCACTTACCATTCAGATTTCGACCTGTTCACTTTGTTCTAGCTTTCTGAACTTTTTTTGAAAATGTTCTCAGCAAATGCTTTCTCATCACTTTCGAGTGATGTTAAATGCAATAAGTCACTTGCTTTAAACTTCTAGATCCTTTTTGCTCAATGATTAGTAATCATTTTTTAGAACAAAAAAAACTCTTTATTTGCTTTAATTAGTAGGCAGGTACTCTTTGTTTATTTTAAGTAAATAAACAGTTTTTGTATATTCTAATTAGAACTAAGAGAATTTTTAAGCAAAAGAAGAGTCTTAAAACAAATACTTTTAAATAAGATTAACATGCATTTCTCCTACCAAGTGAATAAAAAGTATGGAACCAAACGTTTTTTGCTTAAACTATTTATTTTTTTTAAAAACTAATTGATGAGTACTATAAAAATGTGATGATTTAACAAGAATAAAATTTTTCGAAATTTCTTTTTGTTTTTGAGTTCTACAAAAAAATATATTTTTTTAAATGGCAACCCACTATAAAAGCATTTTTCTCATAAAAGCTATACTCTTAGGATTACAACTATCTGCTTTATATATAATTTTTTCAAAAAAATTTTTTCACATAAATTGCAATTTTGACAAAAAAAATCGCGTAACTCAAAAACAAAACAAAATTTCGTTCTGAAGATACGATCACATTTTTTATATTACTTTAATTTATATTAATTATTATTTTCTGGAGGCAAATGATTAAAAATAAAACCGCTTGGTTCCATATTTTATATTCACGCTGTATATGGCGCAATACCTGAATTGCAAACCTGAACTTCAAAAAATCATATCTTAAAAACTACTCTAATTATTTTAAAAATTTGGATTCGTACTAATAAAAAAATGCTCTACACGATGGTGACGAAGAAAAAAAAATACTCGTAGGGTTTTTCTTAGATTACTTCGATTTACTTCGAACTTCTTCAAACACTGTTCAAAGAAAAGTTTGGCAATATTCAATTTCAAATTGCATATCATTCTAAAGGGCAAGTCCATCCCTTTTTAGAATGGTCTTTATTTGAATTAAATCAGCTTAATAGTTATTGAGTAATGAAATTCATTTAAATCAGAAAAAAAATATTTAGTTCAAAGTGTGTGGACTTTTTGAAATTTTTTTTAGTACATTTGATTTGTCTCACTGAGACGAACAAAATGATATAAAATTTATCAAGTTCTCACGACACGACATGTGTAATTTTCGTATTAGGATTGATTTTTTTCTAATGGTTTTCTTTCAGGAATAAATTGACTGCGTTCAAGGCGATGGAAATTGAAATTAAGAATTTGAACGCGCTCCTTATTGAGAAAAATAAAGTCATTAGTAAATTAGAGGAAGATATTAAATTGGAACGAGACGAAAAAATGGATTTGATTAATGAGCATGAAAAGTATCAACAAGAAACGCAAAAGCAGCGAGATTTATGGACACAGGAAACGACCAAATTGCGTAAAGAACTTGACAATATCAACGAAATCGTTAAAATGAACCAAAAGGGAGCTGAAGAAAATCTTAAAGTGCGACTAGAGGAAGAGAAAATGTTGATTTTGAACGAGCAAGATAGTGATAGAGAAGCTTATCAGAAACTTTTACAAGAATATCATTCTTTGGAACAGCACTGTGAAGAGCTAGAAAAGCAATTAAACACTCAGAACCAAAACCAAAGTTCCCATAGAAGAAATATTAGCGATCTTAGCAGCATTGACAGTTTCGTTATTAATAGTGATATTGCTGAAGACCACGGTTACGGTTCCGTAAGATCAACCACGACTTCGTCGTCACAAAGAGAGAGACTTGAGAATATCGATTGGAAATGTGAAGGTGAATTGTTTCTTATCTTATCTTCATTGCACTAATATCTTTTACTTAGGAAATGTAGATAGTCAAACACCCAGTACAAGTAGTAGTGACACTAAACATGAATCTGAAAACAATAAAGTTGACGTTGGTTTGGTTCTTAAACTCCAACACAAACTCGCCGAAGTTGAACGCGAAAAACTGCGAATGCAGAAACGCCTAGATGAGCTAGACATGTCTCCTCGGACCGAAAAAGCTGAAAACGCGGCACGAGATTCGGTTAAAATTTCAGAACTTGAACTTGTCAACAGCAACTTAAAAACGCAACTCATGGAACTACAAAACAGCATTATTGAAGGGACTGGAAGTTCGAAAATACACGAACAGATGCAATTATTACACAATGAACTTGAAAGAAAAACTGAAGAGATAATTCAACTCAAAAGTGTTTTGGCCGACCAGACTAACAACATGAAGTCGCTTGTCAACTCAAATACTCGATTAGGTGAGTCGTTTTTTTTTTCATCTTTTTGTATTTAATTGTGTTTGTAGGTGCGTATATTAATGAGGATGGAGAGTTAGCCTTGGCTTATGAAACTCAAAAAACAATTAATAAACAACTCGAGTTGGAGTTACAAGACGAAAAATCCAAATTCAAAGCTCACGAACGAGAGTACAAGCTCGAAATTGAAAAATTAAGGGAGGATAATGAGCGCCAGCAACGACTTTTATCCGCAAATCTCACCAACACGCCACAAACACAAAGCGAAGCTTTCATGCAACATGAAATTACAAGACTAACAACGGAAAATCTTGATCTACACGACAAAAACGATACTTTGATTGAAACAGTCCGCAAACTCAAGAAACAAATTAAATTAATGACGAAAAAACTCAAAGAAGCAGGACTGGATTTGGACGATAATTTTAATGAAATTACCGACAACGAAGCTACCAAAACTAAGCACACACGGGCCTTACCGACAATCAGAAAGAAAGAAAGGGATTATTTAGGCATGTTTTCGTACTCTAGTGGTGAAGAAAATACAATTATGCGACAACTTGTTATCGGTGAGTGATTAGAAGAGTGATTTTTTTCTCACTATTGTGTTACAGATTTGAAGCCGAGGACTGCAGTTACTTTACTTCCCGGCTTACCAGCTTACATAGTTTTCATGTGTATAAGACACACGGATTATGTCAACGACGAAGATAAAGTCAAAGCCTTACTTTCTGCTTTTACAAACTCCGTAAAGAAAGTGATAAGAAAGCGACATGAAGATTTCGAAACAATGGCTTTATGGCTTTCGAATACTTTAAGATTAGTGCATAATATGAAACAGTATAGTGGTGATCGTGCTTTCCAATCTAAAAATACACCAAAACAAAACGAGCAATGTTTGAGGAATTTCGACTTATCGGAATATAGACAAGTGCTTTCAGACATTGCTGTGTGGATTTATCAGGGACTTATACGAAACTTTGCTGAAAAAGTCCAACCACTTATCGTACCCGCCATTCTTGAGCATGAGGAAATCCCCGGAATTAGCGGGAGTAAACCTAGTGGATTTAGAGGGAGGAGTAGTAGTGTAGCAACTAGTCCTGAAGCCAGTCAAAAACCAACTACAGCACTTTTACTGGAATTAACAAATCACCACAAGGTACACTCGGAGAAAAAACTATTCACCAGTCTAACTTTCTGCTCACACTGCGCTTTGTTGCAATAGTGTTTCCGACTAACTAGTTGGGGAGCAGGTAATATGTCGAAAGACCCTTATTTAGGAAGTTGGTCCGGACTCGGGGACAAAACGGTATTTTTCTGAAAATTTAGATTATTAAATGGTGATTATAATAATTTGCAAAATGACACTAAGCAAATTTTAGAGAAAAAAATGCATGCCCATGTATTTCATTACCTTCACAAAATTTTTTTGATTTACTTTTCATTTTATTAACAAATAGTTAGTTCTTCCGTTTTTTATATTTATTTTTATTACTTCTAAACAAAGCAAAAAATCCAAAGTGGTAAATTTAATGCCGTAATAATAATAATAACTAATATTATACAGTATGTCCCGGATTTTTTTATTTTACGCTAAAACTACAAAAGAAAAACATTTTTTGCTTCACCTGTTACCAGTAAGTCTGTAATTTTAACATTATTATCACTCAGTGGAAAGAAAATTTTATTTTTCTCTTGATTTTGAGCTTGTAATAACTAATAACACTATAGTCTACAAACAATACAACCTTATTATTATAATTAAACAAAAATAATTGTTAAATTTTTCTATCACGTCACACTGTTTTTGGTTCCAGACGATAATTTTCCTACCTTTCTGCACAAATGCCTCCGATTTAAAATTTATTTAAATTCAAATTGTTGCTGAATTATTGCAAAATTATTACTATATGGGTCTAAATAGGTCTTAACAACATTTCACTCGCATTTGGACTTCTTTTCTAAAAATTTAGGGAGCATACGTGACAAACAAGACGAACGTTTTCATCAAGATCTGAAGGGTTTTCAAAGATCGACACGAAGGTTTTTGGGATGAAAATATGTTAGTAGATTACTGTTGGATTATTATAAAGAAAACTGATCCAAAAAGTATAATAAAACCAAGTAAAATAACTCACTTTTAATATGTTTTTTGGCGGTTTTTGTATTTTTGTTAATTACATATTTCTTAAACATAACGAGGTGGACTTTTTTAAATAGTTTTTTTTTAACTCAGTGCCTCAAAATCTATAAGAAATTTAAGGTTTAAAAATCGTGTAAACTAGTGTATTTTTTCTCTGCGTTTTAAATCCCACATTGGCGTTTTATTTTTTTGACAACGATGTCGTTTTGACAGATGAGTTAACGCAAGTTAAATAATAAAAATGTTTGAAAAAAAAACATAATTTTAATAATAACAGCTTCTAAAAAAACAGTCATTTTTAACAAAAACAATCATTATTCAATTAATTAATTGTCAAAGTGACATCGTTGTCAAAAAAATAAAATCGTCAATGTGATGGGACTTGAAAAGCAAAGAAAGATTATTATTACAATTCCAAAAGTAAAAAATTAACTTTTCTTTCCACTGAGTCAGAATAATGAAATTTTAATTACAGATTTGCTCGTTTCAGATAAAGCAAAAACAACTCTTGCTGTTAAAGTGTTCCTTTATCTACTCAAAAAAGTTTTTAAAGAAATAGAAATAACATCTGCTACAAAAAAAAATTTTCCTTTGCTTTTTTGGCGTAAAATCAAAGGTAAAAATTTGTTTCCTTTTGAGTGGCTATTATAAAATGTATATTAGTTTAGAATTTTGATTATAAAGAAATAACTTGATAGAAATTGTCAAAAGTCAGTTTATTAAAAAGTTCTGACATTTGAAACTAGTCCTACAATTTTGATTTTTGAAAGCTTTAGATAAAGAACTTTAAGAGTCAAGTCAAGCTAAAAATGTTTTTGCTTTGCAGTTTTGGCGTAAAATCAAAGGTAATTTTTTTTTCCTCTTGTAAACTTAATCCAGGAACAAACTGTATACTTGCAAAATACATTTCTTAAATAAATGTATGTATTTGTAATTTGATAATTCGAGCAAGCTTGTTTATTATAATCACAATTTAATGTATACGTTATAATCTATGCTCATTGAAGTAATTTTCACAAAAAGACATTTTTCGGGTCCTAAATAAGAGTTTTTTGACATATTACCTGTTCTCCAACTAGTTAGTCTGAAACACTATTGCGACAAAGCGCAGCCCGAGTAAAAAGTTAGACTGGTGAATAGTTTACACAAATTGCTTTATCAATATTTTACTTTATTGTTTTTTTTTTCAGATTTTGACTTTCTACGGTGTTGATCCGGAAGTCATTTCGCAGATTTTTAAACAAATATTTTACTTTTTATGTGCGTCAAGCCTCAATAATCTGCTCTTACGTAAAGAGTTGTGTCACTGGTCGAAAGGCTTCCAAATTCGACACAATTTATCGCATTTTGAAATGTGGACTCGTGAAAAAGGCCTTGACGTAATAGATTCTTACAAATTTTATTAACTTAATTTACAATTTGCTTATAGGAAGCTTCAATACAGTCAACTTTACAGCCAATAATCCAAGCGGCCCATTTATTACAAGCACGAAAAACCGAAGAAGACGTTACTAGCGTTTGCGAAATGTGTAGCGCTTTAACACCATTGCAAATTTGTAAAATATTGAATTTATACACGCCTGTGGATGAATTTGAACAGCGAGTGCCAGTTTCATTTATTAGAAAAGTTCAGGCGAAATTACAAGAACGGACAACAACTGCTGAACAACAAGTAAATTAATTTTAATTTTTTATGCGTCACTTTTAATGAAATCTGTTTCAGACTCTACTCATGGATGTCAAATATCACTTTCCAGTACGATTCCCATTCAATCCTTCCGTCATATGTTTGGAAGATATCGAAATTCCAGAAATTCTTAAATTGCCTCAGTTAGAAAAACTTTAAACAAATATCTTATACACAAATTCACACAGTAGTACATTTGCGGTGTTGTAAATAATGTGAAGTTAGTCAAATTTACGTAAATAATTAATTACATAAACTGCTTAGTGCAGTTTTCTATCTACACAAATATTTTTACAACATTTCTTTTACATTGTGATTATAGAATTATGTGCCCAGTTTTTTAAGGGTGTTATTTATTTGTTATTATTTCTTGTAAATATTTTTTACTTTTGTAAAAATTGGTGCCATTCTGTTTGAAAATTATGTAATTGTTGTTTATCTAGTGTAGAATTTCATAATAATCTAAGAGAGTCAATTTATTTTAAGAAAAAAATATTAAATTAATGTTGTAAATTGTAAGCAATAGTAAAGCGAACTATAAGCAGAAATATTAATAATGTGATTGGACTGTATTAGTAAATTCTATTTTTATTAGATACATATCTTTTTAGTACAATCCTGTTTTAAGTGCTTTATAATGTGCTTATAAAATTGTAAATTATTTATATACAAGTATTGAGCTTCTACAATTTTATATATACAAAGCCTCCGAATTTGTAGCATTCTAATAATTCCAGAGACATGTACATCTTATTGCACTTTAGACAATAACTATTTTCAATCATTTATCCAAATATCTGATCTGATATATAAAATTGTAGCAGAGTATATTGACTAGTTACCCAAAAAGAAGTATTATATAAATTCTCGTTAATGTTAAAAGAATTTAGGAAACTGTTATTTGTGATTTGTGATATTTTATTGTCAGTTAAAAGAATATTTCATAGTTTAATTTAAAATTGTATCTATAAAGACAAGTGTGTAAAAAAGTATGAAATAGACGATCAGCAAAAAATACTCACATTTACTCTCTTATAACAAGAAGGGTTCTTCAAGTCAACTGGAACAGTTAATTAAGATTATTTAAAAAATATGACGTTTTTGCACTTTGAATTCGCCATGTTTAAATTTTGCGTTTTGCACCAATGCACATGTTTTAGGCGCAGGATCATATAGCCACACAAAAGAAACAAAAATTTTACCAACAAAAAAAATAATTAAAATATGTGGCGCATTTTTTTCAAATTATTTGCATAATTTCCTGAATTTGCTGTAATGTGCTTGAAGTTTTAATTTTTTTCCGATTAAAATTGTACGAGTTTTGGTTTATTTTATCAAAAATATTACGGTTGGTATCACTTGTGCGGCGTATGTTTAGTTTGAAACATAACCTCACCTCCCACGTTCTCGAAATCCGTTGCAACTTGGGCACCACGTGCAATTTTTTTCTTAAAGTAAGTAATAATTTTAATCGTTTTTAATTTCTACTTATGCTCCTATTAATTTAGCTTTGAATATGGCGATTGTAAACGCGAAAACTCCGAATAAAAAACGCAAAAGTTTGGCTAACGATAGTCAAGCCGAGAGCCCTAAAGCTGGTAATAAAACGCCGGCGAAAAATAAGTTTAACGCAAGCCCTGGAAAGGCAAAAACTCCCAAAGCAACACCGGGAAAGCTTGAAACCCCAAAAGCGACCCCCGGGAAGCCAAAAGCAACCCCTGGAAAACCCAAAACCCCAAAGGTCGAACCTGGAAAGCCATTAGCTCTCAATTCTTCCCCATCTCAAAACAATGCAGATAAAAGTCCGAAACAGGAAAAACAGAATAAAGGGAAAAGAAGTGCTAATCTAAAAGACGAAACCTCGCCGCCTAAAAAATTAAAAATGTTCAAGGGAACATCAACCCTTGGAGATAAAAAGCCACAACAAAATCAGGACAAGAAACCGCAAAATAAGGCCAAGGAGTCACAGAAGAAAAAGCCCAATCGTAATTATGCCCTTTTGAAGGAAAAACTTGTTAGTGGGGACCTATCAGCACTCAACGTTATTGAAAAGAAAATTAAAGCGATAGAGGAGCGCAAGGAATTAACAAAAACGGCAAAACGTAAATTAAAGTTATTGAAAAAACTAAAGAATGCCTCAGGTGGTGCATCAGCTTCCAAGAAAAGGAATGACCGGCGTAAGAAGGTTAAAGCCAAGCACGCTGAAGCCGAAAAACTTGAAAAGAAATCTGCAGTCGTTATAAAGCAAGAAAAGGAAGAAGAGGACTCGAGTGAATCTGATTATGAAGTTGAGGACGAAATTAAGCCTGGTACAATTATCAAGACTGAAAATTTGAAAACTGAGGAGAGCGACGAGGAAGACAGTGATGAAGAGGAAGAAAGCGGCGACGAAGATGATGAATCTGCTGAGGAGGAGGAAGAAGAACAAGAAGTAAAGCAAACTCCGAAAGGTAAGCAGCCCCAAAATAAATCAAAGTCTCCAAGCGTCCAAGATTTGCAAGACAATAACATAATTGGCAAAAAAAAGAGTCGTTATGTTGTTTTTGTTGGAAATCTTTCGTTCGACGCAACGAAAGAGGAGATTTTAGAACATTTCGCGAAAGCGGGCAAAATTCGCGATGTTCGCATTCCTACCGACAAAAATTCAAATAAACCTCGTGGTTTTGCCTATGTTGAATTAGAAAATGAAATAGCTTATCAGAAAGCTTTATCTTTGCATCACACTTTGATAAAAGGGCGACGTATTAATGTTTTGTATACTCAAGGTGGGAAAAAGAAAGGACAGGAGAAAAAGAACGACATAAAATCCAAGAATTTGAAGTTGCAAGCCATGAGGAAACAAGGACAATTGGCAGGGAGTGTTAAAGAGAGTCAGAAGAGGTCAGCAAGGAGGGCCAAGAAAAACGCAAAAGTTAACGGCGGACCGTAATTGTTGGTTTATAGGATTTAACTTTTTTATTTGTTAACATAATATTTGTGACGTGTAAGGGAGTTTACACATTAGAATAAATCATTATACAACAGAATTTTATTTATTTTCCTGTACACACTTTAAATACAATCTTAAACTATTAAACAAACTGGTAGTGCGGAAATTGATTAAAAGTTGTGGAATTTGTTTTGACCGTATCACAGTGTTGGCATTCATGAGTTTCATAATATAAAGTGCAAGAATGTTAAAAAAGGCACTAAATATATTTAAAAACAGTCTTCATGAAATCATTTTTATGGCACTGTAGATGAGAACCTAAGGCACTACAGCATTTTTGGTGATATGTTCACTGGTGTTGCCTTGAGGTTGCACTATCATAAGTACAATCAGCGTAGAAAAGATTGTCCTAATAAATAAACCGGCTGAACCCATAAACCACAACAATAATTTTTTTCCATTGTAAACGTCATTTAACAGTATATTCAGTTTGAAGTAAATTTTACTTTCAATTGGGTAGATAAATAAAAACTATTTTGGAAAATTTACAACTTTATACCGCAATTAAAAGTTAAATTAAAATAATTTTAATGAATGTTTGATGTTATTTATTTACTAAAATAACAAGTAAATGCCGTTTTAAATGGTATAATAAAATAAACAATATTATTATT